ATTGAATTGCATGTGTGTAGGTGTTATTTAGACTTCAAAGGAATGTGTGTGTGTAGACCAGGGACAGAACCTTTCACAGTAGTTCCATTCCTTCCTACATACCTGTTCAGTAAACATTGGTTGGGAAAGACAGATCTCCACTTTTCAATTCCACTAGGATCATAGCTGTCAACTTTTCCCTATTCTTGCGAGGAATCCTACTCAGAATAAGGGAGTTTCCCTTTTAAAAAAGGGAAAAGTTGACAGCTATGACTAGGATTCCACAGTTTTCAAGTTAAGTTCCAGGTGGACCCAACCCAGGGCAATCCATGGCTGCCTCCTCCCACTATGGCTGAATCCCGGGTCAATCTGAAACCCCCAATTTTATTCAGGATCTGGGATTCAACCAAAACATGTGCACAGCCCTACTTTATACACCTTCCCAGGGCCTTCTCAGGAGTCATGCCCAGCCTGTGGAATGCCCTCCCACCAGATGTTGAGAAAATAAACAACTATCTGACTTGTAGAAGACATCTGAAGGCAGCCCTATATAGGGGAGTTTTTCATTTTTGATGTTTTCCTGCATTGGATGTTTTAATTTACTGCAAGCCGCCAAGAGTGGCTGAGGCAACCAGACAGATGGGCGGCATATAAATAATAAATTATTATTATTATTTGGTCAGTCTACACTGTTCCAAGCCTTTCCATTTCACTTTCCTAACCACAAAAACTTCTTGGGTTTGTTACACTAGGACACTTTAATTGTACAAAGCTAATTTTTCCAGTCTGCCCTGGAATCCCTCCTGCAAAATACTGACAGTCTGGAGGTACCCAAATTAAATGCGTATGTGTTCCAAAATCTCAAAAAAGTAAGACGTTTTTGAGCTTATTTTAAAGGAAATCCGCCAAAATCTACACGTCTGACACGGGTTGCCATACGTCTTGATTTTCCGGGACATTAAAGTGCTTTTGGGCGCTATTTCCGGCATCCGAATCCTGGCTATGTCCGGGAATTTCCAGCGCTAGGGAGGTAAAGGAGACCTAGCAGAAATATGCTGGCCCTCCGGTTTAGTAAACATGCAGCCCAGAGAGATCATTCCTAAACTTCCTGACAGGCTCAAATGCAAAAGTTGAACATTGTCCTGCCACAGAGATGCAGTCAAGGGGAAGAGTTTGTGGTTGAAATGTTGTGTTTTATGTACGTTTTAAAAGCAGAGGATTTCTTCCAGAAGAAACTTTGGCAACACTACTATTAAAACTCCTGTATATAGTCACCACAAAGAGTAATGCTCCTGCTAACAATATCAAAGGAAAGGGCAAAAAAGAGAGGGAAATATTTCTTTTAGAATTTCATTACATCTTCCAAAATATATATCGTAAAGGCAAGGATCTCCTGTTCAGACAGGTCCTTTTAAAATTGTTTTGCATCCTCCTGGCCTCCAGCAAAATAATTTTCAAATGTAGCCATAATGATGTGCTTAGAGTTATGATACATATAGCCAAAATGCTACTGTGCTGGGTTTTCTAAACACACACACAACTTTGTAATTTGAATTTCACTTTGAGTCTCGAGATTTTGAAGACTGTAACTTTGAAAATGAGATAACGACATTGAAAACTGGCAAAAAAGGGAAAAGAAATGCTATTCCAGAAAGATGCTGAGGAGTGAAAACTTGTACAGAATAGAGCATTGAAATTCAAGATGAATATGCCCAACGTAGGAAAGATATACCCGTCAGATGTGTGCTTATCTAAAATTATCCTGTGCTGAGTCAAATATGAGAGTGAAAAATCAGATTTCCAAAATCTGCGCTTTTACTAAATCTGTATACATTACACTTATAGTCTAGACCTTCTGAGCTCTGTAAGAGAATGCTATGGGATAAACACACGCACACAATTGCTTATCTAATAGGAAGGGAATTTTTATTTTCTTGATAAATGACAACAGCTTGGATGATGTTGCTATTGTCACCTGATTGTGATTTATTTGTACCATTCCTAAACGATTATCAAAGACAGCTGGCTAGAGATGTTTAGAGGGAAGCTGGAGTGAAAGGGTAGCATCACAAAATTTGGTGTCTCGTCTGCCTTTTTGAACTCCTCTTTTCCCATTTCCAAGACTGTAGAAACATCACAGAATTAAAAACGTCATGCCACACCACACCCTGCCTCCCAAATGACATCTGCAAATCATTAGTACGGTTAAATGTGCTTTCAAGTCATCTGTCTTCGGTCCACACTAGTGGGCAGAGTGTGAATGTCTTCATATGTTTGCAAAATCAGATGGATGCTAAGGGTTTTTTGTGGGGGGGGGGTTCATCAAATTGCAATTTTTCTCAAGGAACTACAGGACAGATGTGGATTGTGGCTAAAATCATTTGTATATGGCTTCACAGATCGGTGGTGGGAACACACTGGAAGCAGAGTAAACAGGCATGTGTACACAGGCCAGCTATGACAGCTTAAAACAAAAGGGCGGCTTCTCATCTACCCACGTTCCTTTTATTCTAGTTGGGTTTTGTTTGTTTTGACTTTACATTTCAACTGTCATTGGCACAGGATTATCCACTATCAGATGGCAAGGATAATGTCCGAGGCAAGTTACTGCAGCGGGTGATGCATCTTGAGTGTGTGGTGTTGTTGTTTTAAAAAGCAGATGGTACCAAATTGTCCTCAAAAGCCTGAATCACTTGCAACCTGTCCTCCCAACAGAGTCAGCCCTGAATAACAGATGGCAGTTTCAAACATCTCCGAAAATGCTTGTTTGGCTTCTTTTCTGTCTCCTATCCCCTGCTCTTGTCTCCCCATCTCAATTTTGCTCAATTCTTTCAGATTCTTTTTCTCCCTTTGCCTAAATGTGCACCACTGGGCTCTTCCTTCTCTAGCGTGTCACTGCTCCATCTGTTTACAGGAGGGATGGGGAACCTGTGGTCCGTGGTCAGGAGGATGATGGAAGCTGCAGTTCAGCAACACCTGGAGGGCTACAGGTTCTCTGTTTTTGATTGACAGGGTAGAGGCAGCTGTTAGCATTCTACATTCTTTCTACAGCAATTTAAATATATGTCATATTTCTAATGTCTCCACTGTTGATTTTATACTGTAGGGTTTGATATAATATACATCAAAGTGCATATCTTTAATGTACACTTTTTTCCCTTAAATGCAAAAAATACCTCAAATATCTAGCTCTTCATTTCCTATTGCTTAGGCATTTTTAATGCCATTTATTGTTCTTTTTGGCTTATATGTTTAAATCACAATGTTCCTTTCTCGTATCTTGCATTTTAATGCAGGAGATACTGAAGCTATTGTGCTGCTGGTGAAATTATTGCACTGCTTCACTGTAAAGGCATTGTTGCACTTTTTTTTGCCAGAGTGTTTTTGACAGCTCTTTGTTTGCAAATGCCAGAGTCCACTCAGAAAGTGGCACAGCTTGCAAACCGTATGACCTGGTACCGGAATAAATTAAAGTCCCTGTTCTAGGTGACCAGGCTTCAGTTCAGATTTTGTCAAGATTCTAGTCTGAAGATTTAAGGATGTGGGCTAAAGGTGTATTTTGAGGAGGGGACAAGTGAAGTGGAATCATATAAGAGTACCAAGAGAACCTCCCTACCTCTTTTTATGTGTCCTCAACCTGCCTCCGGTCCTGAGTTTTCCTCTCATCCTATCTCTGTCTTGAAAGCTCTCCCATGACTCTATTTGTGTATGGCAGGAGTGGAGAATCTTTGGTTCTCCACATGATGCTGAACTACAACTCCCATCAACTGCAAGCATGACCAATGGCCAGGGATGATAGAAGCTGTAGTTCACCAACATCTGGAGGGCCAAAGGTTTCCCACCCCTAGTGTAAGAGAAGAGCAGGCCTGTGCTCGCTGATCCCATTCCCACACCTGTGTCCCTGTCGCCAGCATCCACCTTTCTTCATGCATTGCTCCCAGAACATCTGAAACAAGAAGCCGGTTCTATGCATCCCCGTGTGATTTAGAAAACTGACCGCACAGCTGGCCTGTGCTTAGAAGAGGCATCCCAGTTCATACCATCAACACCCAACATATTGAAGGCAGCAGGGCTGGGTGGTGGGGTCACAGCAGTGGGGTGGGGCCAACAAATGCAGCCTGCGTTTCCCTTCAAATGATGGAGGTATAACTCCAGAATCAGGCTCCTGTAGGGCCAAAAAAGGTTGGCAATCCCATCCAATGACTTCTCAAGATAACTAGCCTCCAGATCGATCCATGACAGTGAAAGGTGATTTCTATAAGGCTTCAGCACCAGCCGTAGCTTCTGAACCATGCTTGGCTGGGCCCAAGGATCTTGGCTGTCTGCATTTAAGACTATTTAAGCAATATCTGTTTTCTCTGGCTAAGCTAGTTCAATAGCTGCTTTGTTGTTTCTTTTATTGACAGGGGGGAAATCACCTTGGGACATGTTGTGTGAAAGCTGCTATAAAATAACAGTTTGTATTTGCACTGCATTACTTACCTATGTGCAGGGATCGATGGCTCCTGTATTTTGCCCTGTTAGTCTACAAAAGGAATGCTTGAGTGTCTTATTTTACAATCTCTTCCTTGAAGCAAATCAATGTTTATTTGTAATATTTATCATCTCCTTAATGCAGACTCAAAACCGCAAGGTTTCCCCTCCACCCACACCCCACCAAACAAAAACTAGAATGCACACACACAGAGAGAGAGAGAGAGAGAGAGAGAAAGAAAGAAAGAAAGAAAGAAAGAAAGAAAGAAAGAAAGAAAGAAAGAAAGAAAGAAAGGTGATTTTGTTATATTAAGAAATGACAACATTTGAATCGGGACTCTTTTTGTGATGGTTTATTCCCCTCCTGTTCGGATGCTAAACCTGGCAGTTGGCCTTCCTGAGGGTTTGGTCCATGGCAGACTTCTGGTGCCATTCTCTCTGATCCCTACAGCTAGCTGTATCTGTAGAATCATGGAATTTTAGAGCTGGAAGGCGCCACAAGGGTCATCTAGTCAGTCCCCCTGATACCCACCTGCAATGCAGGAATCTTTTGCCCAATGTGGTGCTTAAACCCATGACCTAGAGATTACGAGTCTCGTGCTCTGCCGACTGAGCTGTCCCAGATCTAAATAACTGTGTCAACAGTTCCATGCTGCCCAGGGGAGAATCCAAAGTCATGCTTCTGGAGGAACAGCCTTCCACACTACATGAGCAATTACTTTTAATACAGTAATGTATCAAATAGCAGTGCATCCAGAGCAGGGTCGGATATGGTACATGGTATGTTGTTAACCAAAATGTCCACATTTCCACTAGGTGTACATGGAAGGCAATCTTCAATATCTTTGTAAAGTATACGGACTGCATTCCTGTTTCGTTATACAGTGGTACTTTGGTTTACGAACTTAATCCGTTCCGGAAGTCAGTTCTTAAACCAAGGCGTGCTTTCCCATAGCAGCAGGGGACTCAATTTACAAATGGAACACACTCAACATGTTCTGCTTCCAAGGCAAAGTTCACAAACCAAAACACCTGCTTCCGGGTTTGCAGCGTTCTTAATCCAAGTTGTTCATAAACTAAGCTGTTCTTAAACCAAGGTACCACTGTATGGTCTTGATTATATTGTCATAAATCATCTCTCCTGCAAAAATGGAAGCTGTGAAAGCTCTGCAGATTTTTTTTCCCTAAACGTCCCCCTGATTACTGCAAATTTTAGGAGTATATGGATGCAAACATCATTCTTCTGGTTCAGAGAAAGCTTTGCTACCGGCTACACTAAGCAATGAAAACCAAGCAGTAGAAACTTGGCGAGGATGTATGTCACTGCTGTGGACTTGTTCAAGAGATGGGGCACATCCTCTGAGACTGAGGATCTCCCACATCATTTGAACACTAGACACAGCTGCACAACCATATCACAAGTGGCTTTTCAAAAGAGGTTAGCTATTCAACCCTGGGAATCTGCTCTTCAAGAACTACAATGAAAAAGCTGCCTTGCACTCATGGAATTAATTGGAAGGATTCTCTGGGCTAATGTCAGGCAGGATCAATCTCCACCTAATCACTCCTGGACATTGCAAACCCCCAAAGAGGAAAGGCCTCAGCTGCAAAAAAAGGAAGAGTCTTGAAGAGCCAACGGTTTTCAAAGGCATAGATGTTTATTTACAGCTTCGGAAGGGGATTAGACAAATTCATGGAGGACGCCTGTCAAGCGCTACTAGTCATGAAGATGGCTAGATGCAATCTCCAGCATATGAGGCACTGTACGTCTGAATAAGCTGCTCAGACCGGGAGCAGATCTGAGAATTTTACATCAGCCAAGGCCACCAGATGGGCTGTACGCTGTCATCTGACTTCCTTAACCAAGAAGATTATGTACGTCCTTATTAAATAATATTTGTATACCTCTTGATTGTAAATAAAATAAAATAAAGCCCTCTCTAAGCAGTTTCTCTTAAATCTCAGTTAAAGAAACAAGTTAAAGCAGCATTCGAAAGATGACTAAAATCAACAGTAGTTGAAAAGGATAAATCGCATGTGACATTTACATATATGATGTATTGTCAGATCTCAGTGATCAATTGGGTATATAATGAGTAAGAGGATGTTTCAGGTATCCTAGCCCCAAGCTGTATAAGGCTTGAAACAGACCCTTGAACTTAGCCCGCTGGCTACTCAGCAGTCAGTGTAGTCATTTCAGCAGTGACATAAGGTGAGGGCGATGCTGCTGCATCAGTGAACGGTCGAGCTGCTGCATTTCTCACTAGCTACTGCTGCGCACAATGTTGTTAATAGCTTCAAAAGAGGATTAGACACATTCATGGAGGACAGGGGAAGGTTCGGAGCTCCGTGGCGGAGCATCTGTCTTGCACGCAGGAAGTCCCAAATTCAATGCTTGGCCTCTCCTGGTAGAGATGTCTGAAACCATGGAGAGCCACCACTAGTCATGGTTGACAATACTCTGCTAGATGGAGCATTGGGTCCAAATGAGTGCATCTCGAATACCAGTTCCTGGGCAGCAAGCAACAGGGTAGGGCTATTTGTCTTGTGGGCTTTCCAAAAACATCTGGCTGGCTTCTTGTGGGAATCTGGATACTGATGTAGATGAACCTTTGGTCTAATCCAACAGGGCTCTTCTTATGGTGTGATGTTACCACTTTACAAAGACGATATTTATAAATGCACCCAAGAGATTTCCCAACTTATTTTCATCTTCTTAGATGGCAATTTTCGGTTTTATTATTGTTGAGTCATACTTGTCCTTTCGAAAGCAGACTGTCTGGCAAGAACGACGTACAGAGCAGCAGAATAGTTGAAGCATGCACTTTCCATCTGGCTTGATAAAACACTGTGTATAAAAGAAATTAGTCAAATGCCTTGTAAAAAAAAAAAGTGCTATTAAGTTATGAACTGGAGAAAAAGACCTTTTCTGAGAGCGGCTCATTAAGGCATCATATTGCTAGAAATGTATGAAAATCCATCTTCTGTAGTGCAGGAAACGTGGGATCATTATTCAATTCTGCATCACTGACTTTGATTTAAAGTACATTTAAAGCGTATGACTTCCCCTCCAAGAATCCTGGGAATTGTAGTCTATTACGTGTGAAATCAGCCCTGAGTGCTCACTGGAAGGACAGGTCGTGAAGCTGAGGCTCCAATACTTTGGCCACCTCATGAGAAGAGAAGACTCCCTAGAAAAGACCCTGATGCTGGGAATGATTGAGGGCACAAGGAGAAGGGGACGACAGAGGATGAGATGGTTGGACAGTGTTCTCGAAGCTACAAACATGAGTCTGACCAAACTGCGGGAGGCAGTGGAAGAAAGGAGTGCCTGGTGTGCTCTGGTCCATGGGGTCACGAAGAGTCGGACACGACTAAACGACTAAACAACAACAAAGTGTGAATGGGCAATTAAACATCCCATAATTCTTTTGGGGGACGTTGTGTGCTTTAAATGTATGGTGTGGATGTGTCCCAAAACCTATGCAGAATCACTTGCCATTACTCAGAAACATCAGATTCAAACCTTCCTATACAGTGGTACCTCGGGTTACATACGCTTCAGGTTACATACGCTTCAGGTTACAGACTCCGCTAACCCAGAAATAGTGCTTCAGGTTAAGAACTTTGCTTTAGGATAAGAACAGAAATCAGGCTCCGGCGGCGCAGCAGCAGCAGGAGGCCCCATTAGCTAAAGTGGTGCTTCAGGTTAAGAACAGTTTCAGGTTAAGAACGGCTCTCCGGAACGAATTAAGTACTTAACCCGAGGTACCACTGTACAAGGAACCCAAGAATCACTCACCTGTGTTTTTAACACTGACTTAGTTCATTGCACTATATTTATATGCATTCATGTAATCCTGCTACACTTTGAGGCAAGGCTGTGTCAGGTTTTCCTCCCTTCAGACAGCAGAGTTTGGGATGTACGTGTTGTTGTTGCTCACATGACTGAATGCTTCCTCCATACAAATAAAATAAAACAAATCCCTACACCTAGACAACTCATCCACTGTTTGTGAGAACCAGGACTTGGAGTCACAATGGTCATATTATCCAGTCTTCAAGCTCTATAATGGCTAGCAGTCGGTAACCTGAGGATCTTTTATCAAAATGTTTTCCTGTCTGATTTAATAATATTCCGCTATTACTTCTACTTATCTTTCATCAGCCTGGAGGGTTGTTTATGTCATTGCTCTGCATTCATTCTTTCCCTCATATTATGTATATTATAACAATTTTCTATCATAGCAACAACTATCAGATGCTCCAACTGTCCCTATTTACCAGAGATGCTCTCTATTTTGGGTACCTGTCCTTGGTAAATCATGGTCTCTGCTTTGACTACCAGGGAGCTGTTATATCTCTGAAAGTTAAATCTGTAAGCCGAAAGCAGATGTGTCTCTATTTTCATGCATGTATCTGTAAATGCATGCACAAAAGCAAATGCCATGCCACTGCTTTCTTCCTGCTCCCCAAACTGCCATCCTAGATAGTATATTTCCTGTAAGGGAAGTCAGTCTTGTCTATCACCCATATTGTACATGGGCAGAGGCAGAGAGAGAGAGACAGAGAGACAGAGAGAGAGAAGTGAGTTCATGGCAGAAGTGAGAGTCAAATCAGTGACATTCTAATTCATAGCTCAATTAAAAACTAATTAATATTAGCATTAACATCTGAAAGAGCCTCTGCAGCCCAGATAATGTTCCTTTAGGGACTGAATCCAGCCTAGGGGATACTGGTTAGCCATCCCTGATTTGTGTGTGCACGTGAATGTGTGTTGGGTCATTTTCTGACCATCAAATGAAAGCTTATACAATACAGCTATAAATATGAAGAAGAGCCGCGGAAGGGACATGGAAGGGACTTAAGGGCCTCGGACATAAGATTACCAGGTTAATGCGCTAGATTGATGGGATAGAAAGGACTGACAAAACCCAGGACCAGGAGGAAGAGACGCTGGATGAAGATTGGATTGTTTTTTAGTTTTTTATTAGGACTGTTTTATAAAATTGATGAATGTTAGAAAAATGTTGGAACGAAATTATTTGGCTTTAGCAAAAATGTTTAAAGAATTATGTAAGAATATTATGGTTATGAGAAATTGGTAAAAATAAGATCTAAGTCTTAAGCTTTAAGGTTTTTTATAGTAAGATAAGTTTAAAATAGATTAAGGTAATGTAATGACAGAATATTATGAAATATGGAAAGGATTTGCTGCGACAATTAACAACTAGGATACAAAAAAAAAGGGAGGAGGAGGAGGTCAAAGAAAGAAGGTAATGACAGTTAAGGATTTAAGAATGTTGGATTTGTTTTTAAATGTTTGTGGTATATTTTTGTCCTTTGATCGTGTTGTGCTATTTTTTGATTTTGATTTCTATTAATTTGTATTGTTTGATTGTGGTTTGTTTTTTCTTTGTTTTTTCTCTCTCTTTTTCTTTTTTGTTTTCTTTTGTAATTCTAAAATTTTCAATAAATATCATTTAAAAAAAAAAGAAAGCTTATACAGTGTATTGTATTATTATATATTTTGAGAAGTTGCTTGTTTATTTGTTAAGCATTTGGACACCTCTTAAGACATGGCAACCAGATTTTGCATGGTTCCCGAGATGAAGGAGTAAG